TCAGAGGTCATATGACTGGGTAGAACAGGGGTAGCAGTAGAACTGCACAATCGTTTATGGAGAGAAGAGCAACAAAGATGATTAGGAGACCGGAGGATAAAACGTATGAAGAACGGTTGCAGGAACTGGATATGTCTAGTTTAATGAAAAGAAGAACTAGGGGAGACATGATAGCAGTCTTCCAATATCTCAGGGGCTGCCACAAAGAAGAGGGAGTCAAACTATTCTTTAAAGCACCTGAGGGTAGAACAAGAAGCAATGGATGGAAACTGATCAAGGAGAGAAGCAACCTAGAACTAAGGAGAAATTTCCTGACAGTGAGAACAATTAATCAGTGGAACAACTTGCCTCCAGAAGTTGTGAATGCTCCAACACTGGAAGTTTTTAAGATGTTGGATAACCATTTGTCTGAAGTGGTGTAGGGTTTCCTGCCTGAGCAGGGGGTTGGACTAGAAGACCTCTAAGGTTCCTTCCAACTCTGTTATTCTATTCTATTCTATTCTATTCTATTCTATTCTATTCTATTCTATTCCATCCCATCCCATCCCATCCCATCCTATCCTATCCTATCCTATTGTTATTTAAACAACCAGGAGCTGTCAATCCTTGCTTTTTCTGACATTAAATATAAACGTGCCACTGCCCAATGGACATTCTTCTAAGGATGAGGCTCAGCCTCTCCCTGCCTCCCCCAACTATTCCCCAGTTCTCCATTCTCTCCAAAAAAATATGCCGTGATTGACCCTCCTGATACCTCCTCACCAGGGATGGCTTGGGCGAAGTTGCACGAGGAAACCAGAAGTTTGTGAAATTGGTTCGTTTTCTCATTCAAGATCTCAGAGTGAAATTGTAGACAATGTGCCAATCTCGATATTTTAAGCCGAGTTGGAGAAGCTTTGTTGGCAGGCCATCCGGTGAGATCACACCATAGTGCCTGGTGTTTCAAAAGTTGCCAAATCTTATGGAAACCATAAACACACCCACATGCATTACCCTCTGATTTATAACTTGCTTTGTCATCATACTGATGAATGCCATTGATATAATGCTGGTAGCTTCTGCTACTGAGTTATGTCTCCCTAAAAGTTCCCACTAAAATGTCCTCCTGTTTTCTGAGGTAATGCAAAGTGATCTCTTTTCCCCAAGTTCTCCCCATTTGTTGGGGGGGGAAATGCAGTGTGTGAACCAGCCTCTCTCAAATCTTTCATCTATTTGCTAAGACAGAAAAAAGAACTATAATTATGTTTTGCTCGCATTATAGCTCAAGGTCAAAAACTCTTGTGATTTAAGCTACTGTTGAGAGACAGCAACAAAATTAACATGGATTTGGTAACATTTCTTTTTCTCCTTTCTTTTCATGGCTAACTCCAATCCAGTTTTATCAGGGAGTTTGATACTAATATTCACAATCAACCTTCACAAATGAGAAAATTGCTCTTTCGGGTTCCAACAAGCATAAATGGGTGCCAGCATATTAGTTTGTAAATAACACATGAGATAGGGGTCTGAAGGCTCCCCAGAATCTGCAGAAATGCAGCAACCTTTAAGAAAAAAAATTCAGAAAAAGGAACGTTTTTCCTATTCTTTAAATTAGGGGTCTCAAACTCGATTTCATTGAGGGCCACATCAGGGTTGTGTTTGACCTTGGGGGGGCTGGGTTGGGCGTGGCCAGAATGGGCGTGGCCAGAGGCAGCCCACAGGTGGCCCTTCCGACCTCCATTTTTGCTGGCAGAGGTACCGCGGGCCGGTCCTTCAATGCTTCTAGGGTGGCCCGTGGGCCAGATCTAAGCACCTCATAGGCTGGATCCGGCCCACGGGCCCTGAGTTTGACACCCCTGCTCTAAATAGTCTGGTGAAGATCTACTATGATCTGTTCCATAAGACCTATGCAGTCCACTCTACTCAGTCAAGCCAATGTATCTGTAAATAAATGCAAAAAATGACAAAAATACATGAGCTTCCAAGTATCTCATTCAAAATAAAATCATTATTTTTTTCCTATTTTATTTTAGATTTTTATCCTACTTTTATTATTTTTATAAATAACTCAAAGTGGTAAACATAATCTTCCTTCCTCTCTTATATTCCTCACAACAACAACCTTGTGAAGTGGGATGAGAGACAGTGAATGGCCCAAGTCATCCAGCCAGCTTTCATGCCTAAAATGGAACTATAACTTTCAATCGCCTGGTGATTGGCTCAAAGTCACCAAGCTGGCTTTCATGCCTAAGGCGGGACCAGAACTCACAGTCTCCTGGTGATTGGCTTAAAATCACCCAGTGGCTTTCATGTCTAAGGCAGGACTAGAACTCACAGTCTCCTGGTGATTGGCTTAAAATCACCCAGTTGGCTTTCATGTCTAAGGCGGGACCAGAACTCACAGTCTCCTGGTGATTGGCTTAAAATCACCCAGTTGGCTTTCATGTCTAAGGCAGGACTAGAACTCACAGTCTCCTGGTGATTGGCTTAAAATCACCCAGTTGGCTTTCATGCCTAAGGCAGGACCAGAACTCACAGTCTCCTGGTGATTGGCTTAAAACACCCAGTTGGCTTTCATGTCTAAGGCAGGACTAGAACTCACAGTCTCCTGGTGATTGGCCCAAAGTCACCCAGATGGCCTTCCTGCCTAAGGAATGACTAGAATTCATAGTCTTCCAGTTTCTAGTCTGGTGCCTTCACCAATAGAATAAACTAGCTTTCTCATAGTAAGATGCCTGCTGAAAAAGATGAAAATATCTAACAAATGGAAGCAAGATATCTGTAGGAGTGCAATTTATGAAAATGTCAAAGAATATAATAACAACCCCTGAACTCATTGTAATCTCTGGCCTGCTTCTTTGTCCAGCGGGGTAAGGCAGCCAGGAGTGGGATTTGGGGGTTCTCCGAACTGCACAGAATCTTAGCTAGAGGTTCTCCCGAACCCCTGAGAACCCCCAGCAGCCCACCCCTGGACAGAATAGAATATTTCCCCTAAAGAAATAAATGGAGACCTCCTTTCCAATTGCAGCCTGCCTTCAATCCATTTCTCCTGTGTCTTTCTCCCAGCTTGGAATAAGATTTTTACTTCCAACAAAGGCATAAGCAATAGAAGTCTACAAATACAATGCTTACACACAAAAAAAATCTCTGAATATTAAGGCAGAACGGACTGAACCAGTGGTGGGTTCCTCCCGGTTCTGCCGAGCCGGTAGCAGTGACGATATGACGTCACCGAAACCGGGTTCTGCCCCCCCGCCCCCCGCCCCCCCCACACCCCTGCATTATTCTTACCTTTTATTTGGCCCCACCCCCAATCTATTGCTGCCTCCTGAGTCCCAGCTGATGGGCTATAAGGAAAAAAACTGTTTAAACTCTTGCCACAGGGCTTCAAAGGGCCGCCCTACAGCTGACCAGTGGTAAAAGGCAGTTTGGTGGTAGACCGGTGCCTCCAAAAACAAATGAGTAGACCGGTGCCTCCCAAAACAAATGAGTAGACCGGTGCCTGCAAAAATACATGGGTAGACTAGTGCCTGCAAAAATAAATGAGTAGACCAGTGCCTGCAAAAATAAATGGGTAGACCGGTGCCTGCAAAAATAAATGGGTAGACCAGTGCCTGCAAAAATAAATGAGTAGACCAGTGCCTGCAAAAATAAATGGGTAGACCAGTGCCTGCAAAAAATAAATGAGTAGACCAGTGCCTGCAAAAATAAATGGGCAGACCAGTGCCCCCAAAAATAAATAGGTAGACCAGTGCCTCCAAAAATAAATGGGTAGACCAGTACAGCTCTGCAAGCAGTTAAAAGCCTGGTAGACCAGTACCTCTGCTAAATCCTAAAGAATTGTCACATGACCATCAAGCCACGCCCACAAAATAAGCCACGCCCACAGAACCGGTAGGAAAAAAATTTAGAACCCTGGGCCGGAGCCTCCCGCTGGTTTCACTACGGGTTCTATAGAACCGGTCTGAACCAGGGGCAACCCACCACTGGTGTAGGGAGATATAAAGAGTTACATAAAAGACATATACAATATGTATGGCTGTATTTGTGATTATGTATGAATAATGTAAATTAAAAGATTGTACACTGCTAGGTGTCAGGTTTTGAGGTCGCTGCGTTTACTCTAGTGCTGACACTAGGTTATAAACCACTCTGCGGTGGCCAAACAAAATTAAATGTGATTTATGATTTAGCATTATGTGTGATTCACATCTTAAAGATGTGGTGGTGGTATGAACGCTCGCCTCAAATTTACTAGCAATTTATTTACTTATTTATCTTTATCCTGACTTTATTATTTCTATAAATGACTCAAGGCAACAAATGATTGTAAACTGAGGGCTACTTGTATTCACATAATGTTTTCTCATTATATTGCAGTCTCTAGAACTGTCTGTCACAATGATATCTTTGCTTAAATGCTGTTTTCAATCACTTAAAGAAAAACTGACTTGGATTTAGCAAAACGCCACAGTAGATTAAAAAAAGAGCATTCTTTTCTGGTTCTTTTTATTTTAAGAACTCCGTTACTGCCTTAGTCAGGTCATTGCATTAAGATTAATAAGAGTTTATTTATTTGGTCAAGCTGTATTATGGAAATGCAGGAGCAAGATTTTATTAATCTGGACTTAAGCGTTTAGTATGCATTTCTATTTTTTCTCAAGGGACAGTTGCAGGAAGCATTTCCTTAATCAGCTGGGATGAAATGGTTATAATTTGAGCAGTTTCTGCCACACAGAGATTAAAAAAAATGCTGTGTCAACTACAGTATAAGAAGTGTAATTGTTTACTTCAGAATAGTTTTTTTTTTTAATGTCAAATGACTTGGCGGCAGTTCCTGTGGGAATTATATCTTGTAACTGTAGACATTGTTCTTGCTTGTTCGAGTATGAAGTGAGCCATTGAGAAAAAAAGTGCATAGGTGTGCTTAATAAGTATGCTTTTTCATGGATAATATTCTCTTTGATTTTAATTAGCATGTGTCCCTCTTTTCCCTCCCTCACCCCCTCAAATTTCTGCAGGTCATTTCCTTGTGTTGAGACATGAGATCTTCAGCTTCCAGATTGTCCAGCTTCTCCTCAAGGGATTCATTATGGAATCGGTAAGAAACAGTATTTTGAGCCAAAATAACAGCTTGGTGAAAATCTTCTGAAGTGTAACATTGCGTTGAAGAACCCTGTTTGTTGTTAGGAGTTACAAAATTGTGGCCTTTTGAGAAATGTTTCTGCGATTTTGGCAATTCTGCCTCTTCCCTTGCTCTACTTTTTAAAAAAAAATAAAAATCTTGGTGGTTTTTTTTAATACTCAACTTGATGTTGAATAGAATAGAATAGAATAGAATAGAATAGAATAGAATAGAATAGAATAGAATAGAATAGAATAGAATAACAGAGTTGGAAGGGACCTTGGAGGTCTTCTAGTCCAACCCTCTGCTTAGGCAGGAAACCCTACACCACTTCAGACAAATGGTTATCCAACATCTTAAAAACTTCCAGTGTTGGAGCATTCACAACTTCTGTAGGCAAGTTGTTCCACTGATTAGTTGTTCTAACTATCAGGAAATTTCTCCTTAGTTCTAAGTTGCTTCTCTCCTTGATTAGTTTCCACCCATTGCTTCTTGTCCTGCCCTCAGGTGCTTTGGACAATAGTTTGACTCCCTCTCCTTTGTGGCAGCCCCTGAGATATTGGAAGACTGCTATCATGTCTCCCCTAGTCCTTCTTTTCATTAAATTAGACATACCCAGTTCCTGCAACCATTCTTCATATGTTTTAGCTTCTAGTCCCCTAATCATCTTTGTTGCTTTTCTCTGCACTCTTTCTAGAGTCTCCACATGATCCTTGCTGCTGTCATTGTTAAAACACTAGTCTTGTTTAGACTGAGATAATACAGAATAAGCACCTTGACCCATGCACAGAGAAAAGAAAGGCACACACACTTATGCAGCCAATGCCATTTGAACAGAGAAAGATGGCACGCAAATACAATTTTTTTAAAAAGAGTGAATTTTTCCTGATCTCTGTAAAAAATGTGGCTATTATGGCCATTTAATAAACAGGGAAATAAAGATTGAAATACTTGACAATGACTGAGGTAGATATTCATGGCAGTGGTGGAATTCAAATTTTTTTATTACCGGTTCTGTGGGCATGGCTTGGTGGGCGTGGTGTGGCTTGGTGGACGTGGCAGGGGAAGGATACTGCAAAATCTCCATTCCCACCCCACTCTGGGATCAGCCAGAGGTGGTGTTTGCCGGTTCTCCGAACAACTCAAAATTTCCGCTACTGGTTCTCCAGAACCTGTCAGAATCTGCTGAATTTTAGCCCTGATTCATGGCCTTTTCACATGCAGGTAAAACTCAACTTACAATCATTTGTTTAACAACCATTCAAAGTTACGATGGCACTGGAAAAAAAAGTGATTTATGAGCAGTTTTATAGCATCCCGTAGTCATGACCAAAATTTTGATGCTTGGCAAACCAGGATGCACTTAACGATATTTGCAATGTCCCGGAGGATCATGTAATCACCTTTTGGAACCTTCCCAGATCACTTCCCAACAAGCAAAGTCAAATGGAGGTGAAGCCGGATATGCTTAACGATCATGTTTCATTTAATGACCATGAAGATTTGCTTAACAACAACCGCAAAAAAAGTGTGGAAAATTGGGCACAATTTAATGACCACCTCGCTTATCAATGAAAGTTCTGGTCTCAATTTTGGTCATAAACCAAGGACTACCTGTATATAATACTGTGCAGTAGTGGCCAAAGTTGTGGAAACCTTTTGGGAAAAGTGTATTTTGAGGTTTTATGGCTAATAACACCACTTTTGGGGGGGAGTTACAAGATAGTCATATTCCACTGCTGGAATGGCCTGGGAATAGCCCAGACCTTAACTCAATTGAAAAATCTATGGAGCCAACTAAAGAAACTTGTTAGTCAGAAGCGACCCAGCAATAAAACCCAGTTAATAGAAGCCATCATTCAATCTTGGTTTTGCATTATAACAGCTGCAGAACTAAAAGACCTCGTTCACTCCATGAGAAGACATTGTAATGCCGTCATTCATGCTAAAGGTTACCCAACTAACTGATGTGATAATTTTTGTATATCTCATTTTTTCTATGTGTTTAACTTTTCTTCTTTATACGGCAACTGTTATTCTAACAGCAAATCCTTCATAAAAGTTATTGCATTACATTCCTGATTAAATTATCTTTCCACTGATATATAATTTTATGGTACTACTCCAAAAAAAAATAAATGGTGTTATTAGCTAGTTTTAGAAAATACACTTTTCCCAAAAGGTTTCCACAATTTTGGCCACTACTGTATATTGGAGCAATAAGTTGGTCGCACAATTAATGTGGCTGATCCTGCTCTGCTCTTTCTCCAGAATCTTATTGAAGGTTTTCTGTATGTGAATATGTAATGCTTCTGTGAGTAAGCCACCCATAATTGCCTCAAAGTAAGTCGGGCAGCCTATAAATTTTATAAATAAATAAATAAATGTGAATAAGGTGAGGAGGAAGACACTGCAGGAGGAGAACAAGATTTGGGACACATCTGCTTTCAGTCATAATGAAAATCCGATACACATTGGTTGAATAGTATAATAACAATGCTCGTAGTATCTTACAGCGTTACTTGTACAGGTAGTTCTCGATTTCCAACAATTCGTTTAGTGACCGTTTGAAGTTACAACGGCACTGGAAAAAGCAACTAATGACTGTTTTTCACACTTATGACCATTGCAGCATCCCCATGGCCATGTGATCAAAATTCAGATGCTTGGCAACTGACTCGTATTTATGACGGTTGCAGTGTCCTGGGGTCACGTGATCATATTTTGCGACCATCTGACCAGCAAAGTCAATGGGGAAGCCGGATTCGCTTAACAACCATGCCACTAACTTTGTAACAGCAGTGATTCACTTAACAACAGTGGTACGAAAGGTCGTAAAATGGGGCAACATTCACTTAGCCAAATGTTTCACTTAGCAACAAAAATCGGGGGCTCAATGGCCCAAGCTTTCTGATGCTGGAGAAATTGATGGGGCATTTTATCCTGACAGTATTTACTCCCATCTCTAAATTTTATATGAATAGCCACTATTGATAGCGGTGCTTAATTTTATGCAGAGTAGTTTGGATGATCAAAGCACTTAATCCAAATTAGTTTTGTAGCAACTTCCTTTGATAAGCTGATAATATGTATTCCAAGGTTACGGGAAGTGAAAGCAAGCTAAGTTAAAACTTCAAAGGTAACTTCTCCTTCTTTACTGGGAATTATAAAAATTGAAAGCAAAACATCTGGTGGGCTTCGGGTTTCATAAGGGAGAGATGCTTGTTTTTATAAAACCATTTAATTGTTGGTAATTTTCTGGCTGATGGCCAAATCTGGCCCTAGAGCCAATGCAACAGTACTACAAAAACCATATTGCAAGTATTAGGACCCAAATTGTTGGGGGCAATATGCTGACTCTGTAAACCGCTTAGAGAGGGCTGTAAAGCATTGTGAAGCGGTATATAAGTCTAAGTGCTATTGCTAATTGCTATTATAAAGTCCATCCCACAAAGTGGTGGTGAAATCTGATCCGGTTTGTTACCAGTTTGCTGGCTGCACATGCGCGCTGCACGTCAAGCACGCGCTGCGGGTGTATGTGCAGTGTGCACCAAACACACGCGGGCATGCGCAGTACACGCCAAAAGGAGGCTTCAGAAGGTAAGTAGAACAGCAAGGGGGGATCAGCTGTGCCGCGTGGTTTAGCTTTGCTAGAAAGCAGGATTTTCTGCTTTCAAGCAAAGCTAAACCACGCGGCACAGCTGATTGTCAGAAATACCGGTTTGGAAGAACCAGTAGCTTTTTAACTACCATATTAAACTACCGGTTCGACTGAAATGGTAGCTTTTTTTTTTTACTACTGGTTCACCCAAACTGGTAGTTTTTATCACTACCGGTTCGCCCGAACTGGAGTGAACCGGTAGTGTTTCACCCCTGCTACAAGGCCCTCAGTCAGCACCAATAAACTGGGTTGTCAATATTAATCAAGCAACTGTACAATCCCTGCATGGCTTGTCCTAGTAACTATGTAGGATAGAGTGGGGAGGAAGGTGCGATGAGGAGATCCACACTCATGGGTGGCCTCACTTTGCAATGAACAAGGACATGCATTCAATTTAGCAGCTACTAAGATTGTTGGACGAGCAGGCACAAAAACAGCCAGGGAAATGACCGAAGCCTGGGAAATGGGCCCTTGTCATTTAACAGGAGTGGTGATTTACTACCGCCTTATCTGATATTTAGGAGCAGAAGACTTGACAGTACAAGGACACAACAGCCAGTGACTTAATAGCTGGCCGTCAACACCCCAATCAACCAGTAAGAAGCCACACCCAACCAGCCACCACATAAATAGGATGCATAAAAGGTAAAGGTAAAGGTTCCCCTCGTACATATGTGCTAGTTGTTCCTGACTCTAGGGGGTGGTGCTCATCTCCGTTTCAAAGCCGAAGAGCCAGCACTGTCCAAAGATGTCTCCATGGTCATGTGGCCAGCATGACTAAATGCCAAAGGCACACGGAATGCTGTTACCTTCCCACCAAAGGTGGTCTCTATTTTTTCTACTTGCATTTTTTACATGCTTTTGAACTGCTAGGTTGGCAGAAGCTGAGACAAGTAACGGGAGCTCACCCTGTTATGCAGCACTAGGGATTCGAACCACTGAACTGCTGACTTTTTGATTGACAAGCTCCGCATCTTAGTCACTGAGCCACCCCATCCCAATAGGATGCATAGAATAGCTCAAAGCACACATTCCAGTAGAAAGAAGTTCCTTGAGGATAGGGTCCAGCAGAAGTTCAAAAGCTTGGAAGACTAAACCTCCGGTCTCGGCATCTGACCCAGATTGGATCCTGCCATAAACATCTAACTTCCTCATATGTAAACTGAGAAAGTTGGACAACTCGAAGTAGGATGCATTAATAACCTAGGATCCCGGAAGTGTAAAATCAGCAATGCTGCCAAGTTATGGTGACACCACAAGACTTACAATTTCTTGACATATGGAATACTGAAAGGAAGTCTGTACTGTGGGCTTA